GGGAGAGAAGCAGCATTCCATGGTGATCCAGGCAGCCCAGCCCCCAGCTGAGCCCACCTGAGACTGCAGGATTGGAAAGGAATTGGAGGATTAGCTGCCTCACTCTGGAAGTGGATGTTATTGAACTCCCCTCTATGGCTTCCCAAAACCACCTGCAGCACCCCCAAGGGGGCACACTCCACCTCAAAGTAGAAGAAACGGAAAGGTGGACCAGGTGCCTGCTTCTCTGTGGAGCAATGGCGAGCTCCTTGAGGGCTGGACCTGGTCGGCTGTCTCTGCTGCCCCACTGGCTGCTGGAAGGATGGCTTGCACAGTTCCCAGCACAGCGAGAGGCACACAGTATGTCCTCCTCAAAGTCTTCAATAAGGGCCAGCAGGTGGCACGGTGGCTAGGGTGCTGGACTCCCACATAGCTGACTACGGTTTGATCCTGGACCCTGGTGTATGCAGCATGCCCAGAATCTCAGGAGGAGAAAGGATTGCGGCCCAGCCATCCCCCGAGGGTGATTTCTCACTTTTCCTCTCACCGTCTCTTTGTCTCTTTCCTCTATGGCAACCACACATGCCCTGTAGCAAAAACCTTAAAATAAAAGATCTCCCATCAGCACACACTAATGTTCTTTTAGTTCTTTTAGTTCTTTTAGGATCTTTTAGTTCTGTTTCATAGCAACTGAAATATTAAGTTTGCCATTTTTTTTAACGAGAGATTTTTGTTATAGGGCACACACACTCGCTGGAAAGACAGAGAGAACCAAAATCACCTCCTGGGGGATGGCCATGTCCTCCTCCATCCTCTCGGGATCTTGGGCACGCACACACACATGCCCGGTGTGAGTTTTAAATCACCGGGTCAGGGACTCAAACCATGGACGGCTACGTGGGAGTCAGCGACATAACTATTACGCCGTCTGCTGCTCCCTACAGTGACATTTTCTATTTCATAATGTCATATCCTCCCTCTCCCCACAAAATATTAACATGAAACTAAAAAGTATAAAACCTAACGAAAATCAGCCGGTGACTAGATCCCATGGGATTCACAAGACCATATAAATGAATTCAAATAGTTTCAGGGAAGCTAGAGGTGGACCGTGGCGTCAGGATCCCATTGGGGGTGCTGTCTCTAACTAGGACTTCAGAAACGTAATAACGATAAATAGAATTTGAGAAAAATAATAAAGATACGTGGTCTCAAAGGAAATACAAAATCTCTTTTGAAGAGTCAGCATCTAAATGTTCTCTCAGTCGCTGAGGAAACACTCAGACCCGCGTGGTGCCTCCAGCACGGTCCCGGCTGCCGTGGAGCCAGCTTTCTTCCCCCGTGTGTCTTATTCAGGCTCCTTTTTTCTTGTCCTCCCTCATGGCACTCCAGCCTGTAATTTGGGACTCAGCGACAGGGAGAGCGCGCGGGGAGCGTGCTAATGCACTGCGAATGTGATCGCTGCATCTCCTTAAAAGGCCGCACATCTCATTCCAAGGCTTTCCCCAGAACTGAGTGGGTGTGTTAAGTGGGCTGTTTTCTACAACCCGTGTCACCGTGAAGGTGACATGCACGTGCTAATTGCAGCTGGAGAATTTCATTTCAGAAGAGATTGTCCTGCGGGTCCAACGTTTGCATTCTTCAGAGCAGTTCCCCCACCTCAAATAATACCTTGACCCCAACATCTCCATGCAGAAAGTAGTTTCTTCCAGTAAATGGTCTTTTAATATTTAATGTCAGTAAAAGACCAGCCTAATCAGTTTTACAGGTTAACAATTAACTTGTAATAAATCCAAATACACTCGAGCAGTAACTCTGCTACATCATTTATGAGAACTCTTATCCCAGGCAACCATGTACAGAGCTTGCTGGGGCTTCCGATGACACTGGCGAAGTTTTGACTTCAGTTCACTGAAGATGAAACGTGACTTTAAAGCTGTCTCTAGCAATCATTTAAATTCTTTCTGGAAACCTCATTATGCCACGTCTAGAGAGTTCCTAACGAGCAATGCCAAAAATCCCCGTGAATGTACAAACAATATAATACAGTAATTTTTCAGAGAGAAATCAAGACTCATATAAACCGTTTGACTTTCTTGGTTTTTATATGAAACATGAGTTTTTATTCATAGGCAAAACCTCAGCCTCTGTAAGCATCTGTGTCCTTGCCCGTGGAGTGGAGTCAATCTTACCCGCTCAGAGTGTATCAGGCGGAGAAGCGGGGAGCGCGTGTGAAATGCTGGGTTCTTTGGGTCCAGATCTCTAAGATTAGAGACTAGCCTTGAGACAGAATGAAGCCACAACCACAGTCAAATAGGAAAAGAGGAGTTTTTCATAGAAGAGTGAAGATTTTAACAGGAAAGCACAGCCCATGCCAGAAAGCTGTTCGGTCAGGCAGTTGTCTGAGGACAACTGCACTGGCAGTGGGTTTTGGTGTCACTTTTATTGTGGGATCTTGTCACGATTGTTTGGGAGGGCAGGTCTGTCGCTGGACGTGGCTCTTCCGTTTGTTTTTATGGCTTTGCTGCACCATGTCCTTTTTGCCAGGAAAGGGAACTTACTCCCCGGTGTGGACTTTGAAGGTAAGAGCATGTGCATAGGGACGATTTTGGGGGGGAAGTGGGATAGTGTCCAAGCATCCCAGAGAATTCCTGTGAGTATGTGGAATGGTGAGAAGGGAGACTACTGTCTCCCTTTTCTAGGTCTTTTAGGAAAGTTTAGGTAATAAAGTGAGATAAGCTCCCTCTTACAGAGCCTGGAGGGACGAGGGAGTCCAGAGGGAGTCAAAGTCTGGAGCGAGTCTGGCTGTAACCCCCGGTGGGCTGTCACCGATGAGGCAGACTCCCTTCTGCTGTTATCTCGGGACCAGTCTGTCTATAAGCAGTTGTTAGGAGACTTTATAAGATCTTAATAAAAAGTGCCACACACAGTGCCCCACATGGGTCAGTGCCCCACATGGGTACTGTCCTGGTTCATAGTGGGTGCCCAAAATCCCAAGAGGAGAATGGAGGAATGGATTGTGATGTGGCCCTCCCCTCAGGGGGTGATTTCTCACTTTTCATCTCATTGTTTATCTCTCTCCAGCCAGTGCACACACACTATGGTAAAACTGAAAGAAACAAAGAGAGGGAGAGAGAGAGAGATGGAAGAAAGGAAAGGAAAGGAGAGGAGAGGAGAGGAGAGGAGAGGAGAGGAGAGGAGAGAAAGAAGAGAAAGAAAGAGGTCCCCATGTCTAATTGAGAACAGTGTGACTGTCTGATAGATACAGCCTTGAAATCGTTCATCACCTGTGATGTGTTGGGAAGCCCATCCTCCTTCAAATCTAGAAAACAGTGTCAAGGACCACATGAAATAGACGTTGGGTCGGAAGTCCTCTACCCAAACCTCTTCCAGACAAAACAACACTGGAACTAATTCCCTAGAGTTCCAACGACTTGAGCAGCGGGCAAGGGCCTGCAGAGGGTGCAGGTGAAGCCATGCCTGTGTCCAGGTTCGAGACATAACTCTGCCTCAGCCCAGGAATAAAGTAGATTCCGTGTCAGTGCGAGGAGTTTGCTGAGGCCTCGGGTAACACGAAAGCTCTCAGAGCAAGTGCTGGAATGTACCTAGAATGATCTTTCTCACACAGTTCACACCCCAGCTCCCTGCAGCTCGGAGTTCCTAGTGAAAAGCAAACATTTAAGGCCATTCAAGGCTCTTCTCAGTCTGGGCCAGCGCTCTGGCCCCATCCAATTCCAATATTTCCCTAAACATAACAAGACCCCTAATAAGTTCAACCTGGTCTTCTCTTTCCTTTCATTCTCAGAACCTAGTTCTAGTGCCACCTCACCAGAAGCACATTCTAGAACCTCAGGCAAACTCATTTCCCTTATTAACTATAGACTGATGATTTTACCAAATATGTGGTTGTTTCTCAGCTCAGAAAACTGTGGTGCTTTAAGGTTCTGGAGTCAGGACCAACAGATGGCATGATGGTTACATCACTGGAATCCTATGTAGTCAACCGTGGTTCGAGTCCTAGACCCAGAGGCTTAAAACTCATGCCGGGCTCGTGTATGTGTATGCCCAAAATCCCAAGAGGAGAACAGAGGAGTAAAGGAGAAAAGATTGCGGTGTGGCCATCCCCCCGGGAGTGATTTCTTGCTTTCTGTCTGTATCTCCAGCAAGTGCATGAGCTCGATAGCAAAAATCTCTCTAAAAAAAGAAGCTTTTGAGTCGGTCTCCCTGGCTCACCAGCTGGGCATCTTGAGCAGTTAAGGACCTCTGCGGTGTTGTCGATGGTGATTTCACTGGTATTGCAAATGTGGTTACACTGCACATTGGTCCGCTCAGATGACCCTGCACTGGATGTCAGTTTGGGGAGAGGTCAAGCTTCCACGTTGGCCAGAGGGCTGATCACAGAGCTTTTGTATGCTTGTGATCGAGTTGAGGCAGTTTCCCGACTTCCAAAATCCTCATCAGATACTAGGGGGATTTGTAAACCTCAGAATTCCAAGTGGACTGGATTCTGAAGAAAGAAGATGCCCAATTACAGGCTACAGGAAATCTTCTTCTTGCATTCTTTTAAATAGGGAATTCTGAAGATGAAAATAAGAAAGAGGTACAAAGTGGAAGCAGGGTTTATTAGGAGGCCTGAGCAGGCGCCTCGTTCAGTAACATGCCTGAGAGGGTCAAGCAGCATCGAAAAGACAAGGAGGAAAATGGATCAGAACTGACTGAGTGTTGTTAGTTTCGGTCATATCTCAGGAACTGGGAGGTCGTCCGAATGAACGTGTTTTCGTTCATCAAACATAGAGTCTTAATTCTCACCTGCCACGTTCTCTAGTAACTCCAGTTTATTTTCAGGTGAACTCTGCATCCCCAAGTCTTGTCAAGTCACTAATACTTCATCTAAAATAATATAATGTCTTAAACTGAAACCTAAGAGTAAGATTTGGCCCCAAACATTCAAAAACAAGTCTATTTTACAGCTAAACAGGTAGCAAGGCTGGTAAGATGTTTATTTCCTCCTTTTGTTTTAGAAACAGGGAAGATTGATCAAGAGATTCACAAATACAACACACCAGGATTCACGGGGTGCCTCTCCAGGGTCCAGTTCAACCAGATCGCCCCTCTCAAGGCCGCCCTGAGGCAGACGAACGCCTCTGCCCACGTCCACATCCAGGGCGAGCTGGTAGAGTCCAACTGCGGCGCCTCGCCACTGACACTGTCACCCATGTCGTCTGCCACCGACCCCTGGCACTTGGACCACCTGGATTCAGGTACGTCTAGAGCGATGCTGGCAGATTGGTTTATTTCTTGAGATCTCTGTTTTCTCAAGTGTGAAAGGGTTAATAACAGAACCTCAGTGGTCGATCGTGTCCTTGGAGGGTTAAGGGAGAGAGCAAAGGTGTGTGTGAGCGCGAGTCCTTACTGCAGAGTTTGGTCCACATGAAGAACTCAAAAGTTGTAATTATCCTTCTTGCTCAGGGCCAGAAGTGAATAATCAAAGATAGATTGTAGGAAATGGGGGGCCAGCAGGTGGCATAATGGTTATGTTGCTGGACTCCCATGTAGTCAACTGGAGTTCGAGTCCCAGACCAGGCATATGTACATTCACCCAAGATCCCAAGAAGATAATAGAAGAGACAGGATTGAGACGGCCATCCACCACCCCCCACCCCCAGGGGTGGGTGATTTCTCGCTTTCTTACTTTCTCTCTCTCTCTGTCTCTCTGGCAAGCATATGTGCCCTATAGCAAAATATCTCTTTTAAAAAAAGGGGGGGGCCCCAGCAGTTAGCGTAATGGCTATGTTGCTGGACTCCCATGTAGCTGACAGCGGTTCAAGTCCAGGACCCGGTGGCTGAAACTCACGCCAGACGTGTGTGCGTGTGTGCCCAAGATTTTGAGAGGAGAATGGAGGAGAAGGGATTGTGGCATGGCCATCCCCCCGGGGGGTGATTTCTCACTTTCTGTCTCTATGTCCCTCTCTGTCTGTCTGGCGAGTGCCCTATGGAAAAAACCCCCAAAAAAAAAAAAAAAAAAAAAAGAGATTGTAGTAAGTATTGACTCCTCTTTTAAGTTAAATTATGAGATACCTCGGCTGATGTCTGAAACGTTACCTCGGGATGATGTGATCAAATCACTTCCTCACTTTTGCCTCTGAGGACTCACCATGCAGTTTTGTTCTAATGTCAGAAGAAGAGATCTACCTGAAGCAACTGAGGACCTGTATTTGTATGAGTAATGCCCCAGGCTTCCAAATTGTTTTTGATTTGTTTTTGTTTTTAATTTATCAGAAGATACATGCACTAGGGATAGGGGTGGGAGAGTGAGACAGACCCCCCCCCCATGGGGGATGGTCACACCACAATCCCTTCTTTTCCATTTCTCCCTCTTCTCAGAATTTTAGGCACACACTCACACACACCCAGCATGCTTTCCAAGACACTAAGTCCAGGATTGGAAGGCCACGGTGGGCAGTGTGGAATTCAGCCTTCTACCACCACACCACGGGCTGGCCCAAGTTCTCAGATCTTTAAAAAGTACATTAAAGCTTACAAAACACAGTGGAGGGAACCAGCAGTTGGCCTAATGGCTATGTCGCTGGACTCCCACGTAGTCGACCGCGGTTTGTGTCCCGGACCCAGTGGCTTAGAACTCACACCGGGCGTATGTGCGTGCGTGCCCAGGATCCCGAGAGGAGAATGGAGGAGAAGGGATTGCAGCGTAACCATCCCCCTAGGGGGATTTGGGGGGTGATTTCTCGCTTTCTGTCTCTATGTCTCTCTCTCTCTCTCTCTGGCGAGCACACATGCCCTATAGCAAAAACCTCTCCAAAAAAAAAAAAACGCAGTGGATTTAGCCCTACTTTTGCAAGTGGCAAGATATACGGTTTGGAAGCCCAGGACTCAAATGAACGGATGTAGCTGTTGGCTACAAAATTAATGGAATGACAATTCGGTGTCCACATAACCCTGAGTGTGGAAAGCCCACTAAACCACATTTCAAAGTCTCAGGTCTTATTCCGGCTCTTCTTGAATTACCCTTAGATAACTCGGGTCACACTTATCAGCCTTCCTCCAGGCTTAGGGTTAGGGTTAGGTTTTCTTCACCCATAGGATAAAGAGGTGGGGTGTGATCTAAGTAACCTCTAAATCTAACATTCAGTGGGTCTCCAAGCAACATGTGGCAATGTTGATGCTAGTGACAGGAAGAGGACGAGCCGGGGACAGAGTGGAGTGAAGCTTGGAATCGGTATCATCACTCCTTTTCATTGGGTTAAATTTGGACAGGTTACATAGCCTCACTCCTCACTTTCCCCATTTCTAAAATGGAACTAAAAGACCTAACTCAAAGAACTCTATGTGGAATGACGTGTTTAAAACACTTAGCACAAGACCAGCCAGGTGGCATGGTGGTTAAGGCAGCTGACCAACTGCACAGTTCGAGTCCCAGACCTGGCAGCTTGAAAAACATGTTGTGTGCATTCCCAAAATCTGGAGAGGACAATGGAGGAGAAAGTATTGCAGTGTGACTTCTCCCTCCCCCTGGGGAGTGATTTCTCACTTTCTCTCTCTCTCTCTCTCTCCAGCAAGCACACTTGCCCGATAGCAAAAACTAAAAATAGATAAATATTTTCAATGGCACAATCTCAGACATGTGGCAATTAAAAAGTTTAGCCGCAATAAAATTAGTACTCATCATGGCTATTATTACACTAAGCACCATTTGCCATAATGCTTAAACGTCCAGGAATACGGCTTCCATGTCCCCCAGGCACACTCCTCGGTTGTAACTGTTCATCATCTAACCAGTGTGCGTTTGATTGCTTTCATCGTATCCCGGCCCTGCACACGGTAATTATCAGCTTCAGTGCAGCCATCGGCATGGCAATTCCTTGCCAGGATTGCGCTGCAACGCTTTGTGAAGCTTAGAAAGAAGCCCAAATTGCCCCGTTGTCAGAATAGCCCATTTACAGACTAAACAATCCTCTTTGTCCCTCACACACGGATTCCTATGACTTGATGAGGAGCACTGTGTGCCAAGGGCACTTACGAAGAATTCTCTTTTATGGATGTTGTTAGGATTACACAGCGGGCTGGTTTTTCCTTATGGGCTGGCTGGAACAAAGGAAATTTGGATGCACAAAGGAAAAAGAGTGAAAATATGAGAGGAGAAACGACATATGTCGGGCCACAGAGGAACAGAGATTTCTCAGGTAAATTCCTCCAAGTGCCGGAGTGGACAGACAAGGACAGTCTTTGAAATGTGGAAGACCTTATGCTGCTACAGGTGCTCACTCCACAAGGCCATGGGCATTGGCGGGCGAAGCCGGCTGCCAAGAACCTAATTTCAAAATATCTAGATGTGACTTTGGGCCAATATTATTTCCTATTTTTTATGGCTTAATTGGCAAATAGTTTGCTTTTCAGGTCTGTGAGATATGACCATAGGACTCAATCACTCTTATTCCACTTATTCTTAAAGATTATACTTCATACGTGACAATTTTAGTCTTTTGATTGATTCATGAAACTGTATATGGGAAACATTTCTTTTTTTAAATTTATTTTATATTCATTCACTGAGCATCATCATAGCATACAAAATGTGATCTCCCATCCAGAATACACCGCATAGTGGCTTAATCATGCATGTTATTGTCAACAAATAGTTTTCCATTTCTTGTTTCATGTATCTATATAGATATGGATAAGTGCACACACACACACACACACACACACACACACACATATATTTTCCCCCTATTTCTTACCCTGTCACTTCCCATCCTCCTCCCACCCTGTCTCTGCTATGTACAATTGCTTTCCATTCCTTCTCTATTTCTCCCCACATTTTGCTGGTTCACAAGGTATCTTAGTTCATCTAACTATTTTCAATAGCGAGTTCCGCTGATATATTCCTATCTATGAACATGTCTGACTTGAGGCATGAAGCTCTAAGTAGCAAAGTAGCACCTGGCTGAGGCTGTTTAACTTCCTGCATTATTAAATAGGTATTTTAAAATATATCTTTTTAAATTTCAAGCAAAGCAGTTTTAGCTTTAATAAACCAAAATCAAAAAATGTTGAGAGAACTTTGCTTAAGGCTAATAACCAGGAAACAAGTTAGGATTCTGTTCAAGTAGTAGGTACATGAACCTGTTTATAGGAATGATAGGAAACATTTCTATTTGTATTCAAAGTTCAAGTCCAAATTTTGCAACGCAGATAATACAGTGGGCCTGTGCTTTGTAACCAGAGGGCCATTTGCAAAACCATTTCCACTTGGACTTGGGCGGAGTCCTTATCCAGTGTCAACCAGTTGCCGTAATATCTGATTGTCAACATTTTCCATAAATCTCCATTTAGTAAAGTGCTTATTAAAAAAATACGTATCTGTCTCATGAACTCTGTTAAAAGGACAGAAAACAGCTCACAGACACTGAGGCAGGAGGCTTATTTAAATAACATGGTTTGATTTTTTTTTTCCTCCGTGAGAACCTGAGAGGGAATGTGGGGTGGAGGCTGGAAGGGAGCAGAGCAAAGGCAGACATGAGAGAAGGCTACTGAATAGCCACCTCTGGAAGCTCAGGGTCAGGCAGAAAAAACTCTTCTTCTGTTCCCTTACGTTCTTTAGCTAGAGGCCTGCAAACTAAGATGATAAAAGACCAATTGACAGGAGAGGAAAAGAAACTTTATTTGTATGCATACAGGAGCTTACAAAAGAAGTAGCTCAATGAATGGTGAAAGTTGGAGGTTTATATACCCAACCTAGTAGGGAGAAAGGAGGCAGGGATAAAAGTTCTCTATGGGAAAAAAAAAATGCATAGATTTTTTAGAAAAACAAATGAAGAGAAGAGAGTGTGTGCTAGTGCTCATTCCTTGCAGGTGTAAATGGTCTTTGCATCCTTTGTAGGCACACAACTCCCCCAGAGATGCACAAAGGAAAAAGAGTGAAAATATGAGAGGAGAAACGACATATGTCGGGCCACAGAGGAACAGAGATTTCTCAGGTAAATTCCTCCAAGTGCCGGAGTGGACAGACAAGGAGAGTCTTTGAAATGTGGAAGACCTTATGCTGCTACAGGTGCCTTCTAGATGTGACTTTGGGCCAATATTATTTCCTATTTTTTATGGCTTAATTGGCAAATAGTTTGCTTTTCAGGTCTGTGAGATATGACCATAGGACTCAATCACTCTTATTCCACTTATTCTTAAAGATTATACTTCATACGTGACAATTTTAGTCTTTTGATTGATTCATGAAACTGTATAT